CTTAATCTCTTACCGTTTCCGAGATCTTGCTTAAACAACTTCTCATTTTGAGGACAGAAAACACGCGACCGGAAGTGAATTTTACAAAGATCTTTGAGCTTACTCTAGACATTTGCTAATTGAATAACATATTTAAAAATCATTCCAAATACTTTATCTACAAAAGATATTAATGGGAAAGAAAAATACTCAAATTATGTAGTTTTTCTCTTATAACCGGAAGTTGACGTTTTTGTTTCCGGTGGGACCAACATATTTCAAAACTACAAAAGAAATGCAATAATGTGATGTAAGAATTGATTTAAAAAAGGAAAGTTGAAATTTAACGATTTCTTTGATCACTTCCGGAAGCGACCGGAAGTGCCGACGACGAACGAAAAGGTGCCTTCTCCAATCTAGAAATCATGTTCTATCATCTCTAACAAGTCTCCAGTTAATATCTTAAGCCATTCTTGAGAATACTCGCGGACAAAATGTCATTTTAAAATCAGAAAATTGTCCATAACTTGGCACTGGAACCGAATTTACCAAAAAACGGAATTTTATATAAAATTCATATAAAGACCTTTTATCCCTGAAAATTTCAAGGAAATTCATTGAATAGTTTTCGAGAAATCGCGTGCACAAAATTTTGTCTAAAAAAAAAAGAATAATAATAATAATAACTAGAAACTCATTGCGAGCAATGAGAGGTCTTCCGTTCGATTCTGAAAATAAAAACGAAAATTCAAGCTGAAAAAGTGATAAAAGAAATTCAGACGCTGGAGATTTAACCCTGATCGTCAGTGTGAAAATCCAACGTGATTTCTTTGATCACTTCCTGTGACAAGCGGAAGTGACGACTGATGCGTTTAACCCAAATGGTTTTGCCTACTCCTCAAGTCTATTACTCATAAAAGTTTGGTTTTTTTAATCTTTTACCTGCTTTTGAGATCTAGCTCAGAAAACTTCTCGTTTTGAGGACAGAAAAACACGCGACCGTGTGAATTTTTGAACGCTATTTAAGGTTACCCTAGATATTTGCACTCTGAATAACATATTTAAAATTCATTTCATCAAATTTTTAATCTATAAAGAATATTTATGGGAGAGTAAAATATTCAAATTATTCAGTTTTTCTCTTATAACAGTAAGTTGTCGTTTTTGTTTCCGGTGGGACCAACATCTTTCGAACCTGCGAAAAACCTGCGAAAAAGATACAATAAGATGATGCAATTTTTAATTAAAAAGGAAAAGTTGAAATTTTCTATTTCTTTGATCACTTCCTGTGACGATTGGAAGTGACGGCTGATGCCCTGAACCCAAGTGGTTTTAGCTACATCTTAAGGTCTGTTGCTCATATAAGTCTGGTGTCTTAATCTCTTACCGTTTCCGAGATCTTGATCAGACAACTTCTCATTTTGAGGACAGAAAAACACGCGACCGGAAGTGAGTTTTTGAAAGATATTTTAGGTTACTCTAGACATTTGCTGTCTGAATAACATATTTAAAATTCATTCCATATACTTTATCTACAAAAGATATTAATGGGAAAGAAAAATACTCAAATTATGTAGTTTTTCTCTTATAACCGGAAGTTGACGTTTTTGTTTCCGGTGGGACCAACATATTTCAAAACTAAGAAAGTTGAAATTTAACGATTTCTTTGATCACTTCCGTAAGCCACCGGAAGTGCCGACGACGAACGAAAAGATGCCCTCTCCAATCTAGAAATCATGTTCTATCATCTCTAATAAGTCTCCAGTTAATATCTTAAGCCATTCTTGAGAACACTCGCGGACAAAATTTCATTTTAAAATCAGGAAATTGTCCATAACTTGGCACTGGAACCGAATTTACCAAAAAAACGGAATTTTATATAAAATTCATATAAAGACCTTTTATCCCTGAAAATTTCAAGGAAATTCATTGAATAGTTTTCGAGAAATCGCGTGCACAAAATTTTGTCTAAAAAAAAGAATAATAATAATAATAATAACTAGATGAGAACTCGTTGCGAGCAACGAGTAGGTCTTCCGTTAGATTTGGGAAATTTTGATTACAAGAAAGTAGAACAACTTCAAATGAAAAAAAATATTCATATCAATTCTTCAAAATATGCTTAACAACACATGAAAGAGTAAAATCTATCAATTTCAAACAACTTCCGGTCTTTTATATTCACTTCCGGTATGACCGGAAGTACTCAAAATGACTGAGTGTGGAGGAGTCATCCCTCAAAGTTTCGAAGAAAAATAAGCATTTTCTCGTCTACTTCCGGTTTGGTAGAAATAACTTCCGGTGGAAATAGTATGACTTGAAACAGTCTATTTGTCTCTATTATCTCTATTGTAAACATTTAAAAAAGAAAAAAAATAAAAATTTGCATTTTTTAAACTACTTCCGGTGGACAACGGACGTCACGGCAACATACACTAATCAAAAAATTCAAATCTACTTGTCACAATCTATCATACCTGAAAGTTTCAAGACTCAATCTCAAAGCGTTTTTGAGAACACTTTCGGACAAAATGCAACTTTAAAAAAAGAAAATTGGCCGTATATCGCGACCGGAAGTGACGACGGCAAAATAAAAAAAATGCCCTAAGTTCAGATGATTTGCCATCATTGCTGAAAGTTTCATGAAAATCTATTGAGGCGTTCTCGAGAAATCGCCTGCACAAAATCGGTAAGAAAATAATAATAATAATAATAATAATAATAGTGGAAAAGAAACAACAGAATCAGTAGAAGGTCTTCCGTTGGAAACGGAAGACCTTAATAATAATAATAATAAGAAACAATAGAATCACTATAAGGTCTTCCGTGGAGCCTTAATAAGAAACAATAGAATCACTATAAGGTCTTCCGTGGAGACGAAAGACCTTAATAAGAAACAGTAGAATCACTATAAGGTCTTCCGTGAAGACGGAAGACCTTAATAAAAGTTGAAAAGAAACAACAGAATAATAAGAAGGTCTTCCGTTGAGACGGAAGACCTTAAAAATAATTATTTTTCATGTTGATCATACAGATTGTAACACTGGTATTTTTCCTATAGATAACGTCTTTTGACAAACAATGCCAATTCTACATAGATTCCTAACGCTAACAAAGTAGTAAACTATAGTTCACTGTAGTTTAATATAGTGAATCAAAATTTCAATATCATTACTATCGTCAATCATTTTTTTTTTAAAAAAGTTTTCACTATTGTAGTGTCATGGTGATCACTATAGGGTTTTAGTGATATCCACAGTAAATTAAAATGTCAAAGTTTTCAAAATAGTAAATCAAATTGTCAAAATTATCATTATGGTAAATCAAAAAGTTTGTATTTCTAACTACAGTATATATTGTTCATAAATAGAAGTCATTTCATTTCACACAATTTCTCAAACGAGGCAAGCTAGTGACAAACAAATTGATGAAACAAAGAAGCCATCATTTTACAATACAATGACCTTGCCCCGTATCATGCAATATCTTAAGCTTAAGTCAAAGTCTTTATGTTGTACTAAAGTGTTGTAGAAGTCAAGCAGGACAAAATTTAACTCTTTTACAGTATACGTATTGCTCAACAAAAATGTTGTTAGCTGCAAAATTAGAGATAAATTCAATAAATAATCAACATTTTAAAGGCAACTGAAAATTTGCCATAAGTCAAAGTCTGTTTCATGATCCCGGGGTCTGTCAGCAAATACATCCTATCATTAAGTTAAATACTGACTGGCTTTTTACATACAAATTGTTAGGCCATTGTTACACACTGAATTGCCTACGGATTTTCCCGTTTTTCCCGATCATGATAAAGAGCACAGATGGGTATGACCGGTCGGTAGAGGATGCTCACTCCTCCATGGCACCTTATCTCACCTCTAATGTTTTTGTATGCTCTGCTCCCGAATTGTATAGTGTAAATGGACTTTGAGCTTGAATACTATTCGTTATCTCCGTATTTTATGCACTATCTATTTTGAAGATTTTTTTTCATTTTGCCAAAGATCCTAATTGATATATTCTATTTCTCATTATACCATGTACTTTGCATGCAAGAAAGTAAATTTCATTTGATACTTTTTTTAAACTTCATGTTTTTCATGACTGTAACTGGCAAAATGTTTCTTAAACAAATAATAAATACCGTATAAGTGGAAATTTTAGCGAGACGCAAATTTAGCGATTTGTCCTTAAAAATTGGTATTTTATTTTTATGGAAAAGTAATTTTAGCGATTTTAGAATGCTCACTAACGAAGCTATTACAAATAAAACGCAATTAAATTTTAGCGAAATTCAAATTTAGCGATATCTGCACCCTCGCTAATAATGCCAGAATTCAATCCTCGCTAAAAATTCTGCTCATACAGTATCTTTCATTCTAAATGGTCTTCTTTGTAAGTAAGCCAGATTGCATAAATGTTATAAATTACATGATATATGTAGATAACGAACAGTAATCAAGCTCCAACTCAAATAAGAAGTAAGGAGTTAACATCATAATATTAAACGATATCAAGTACATATAAGTGATAACTATAGTAAATCAAAGTTTTCTTAGTTATCACTATAGAAAATGATTTTTTTCAAAGTCATAACTAGAATGTCAGTAATCACTATGATAGATAAAAGTTTTCAAAATTATCACTATAGTTAATCAAGGTATCAAAGGTATCACTTTAGTTGACTCTAGATTTTACATGTCCAAGTATAGTTTATTTCTTGGGGAAGCGTCGTTCTGTTCTGCAAGCGACACAATGAAGAATAAACAATCTGAAATGTTTAGCATTCCTTTTAAATCAGAAGAGAATAAACATTACTGTTCCCTAAGATGCACAAAATCTGTGTACAAAAGAAAGAACACATCAAATTTCGTGTATTCGACATGTAGATTTGTTTAGAAGGTCACATTGTCTTCTGCAAATCTTGCTTCATTATTCTTTGTTTGTTTTTACCAACAGACACATCTTTGCTGTTTATTTGTAAACTCACTAACACTTTTACATGTACCTTTGCTGTAAAGGGGCTGCAGAAATTCATGAAGACCTGTTTAACAGAGGTGCAGAATATGAAGTTCTCCAGTATTGCTTTCCCTGCCTTTGGAACTGGTAACCTTGGTTACCCAAAAGATATAGTGGCAGACGAAATGTGCAACGCAGTTGTCAACTTCTCTAAGGACAATCCAGATACTTGTCTGAAAAATGTGGAATTTGTTATTTACGAGAAAGATAAAGTTTCCATTCAGGTAAAACATCTTGTATTCTCTGTAAAGATTTTTAAATAGGGAAAGAATCTTGTAATTGAATTGACTGGATGAAAAACTTTCTTACTGTTGTATAATAAATAATTAGTAACTGTATTTGAATTTTTTAAAAAAAAAATCACGCAAAAAAAGTTTTAATTATTATGACTAAAAATATTCGATTACTATTCTTCAAATCCGTAGCTCTTTAATTGAACAGATTTTTGAAAAAGAAATGAGTAGTAGGGCCAAGGAAGTTATACAAGTAAAGATTAAGACCCAAAGAAAACGACATGGAGGTGAGCATGTTGGGAAGACTTTTGGTTCTGACAGTCAAAAGGAGGTATCTGTAGATTTCGGTCCTATCAAACTACGCATGTACCAAGGGGATATAACGCTGGCTGATGTGGATGCCATCGTGAATGGCACTGATAGTGAAATGGATCTCAGTAAAGGTAACTTTTTTAAAGGTAACTCATTTGAATTGTTTGAATGGACTTTAGAGCTTGAATATACATGTACATGTACTGTTTGGTATCTCCATATTTCATTCGATAAAGATCACTTTAACTTTCAATAGTGTATCAGTCGTTTAGTTTAAGGTTATTTTTTTTTCAAATTCATTTACATTTCTTGAAAATTGTATTGACACTGTATTATTTTTTAATATACATGTACAAAAATACTATTGTATTACTATGCTATTCAAATTAAGACGCTTGTATGAACATGGGTCTGCATTACCTTATCTTCGATCAATTTTCATTTCATGACCATATTTTCCAATAATTATTATCTGTTTCTAATTTGATAAGACAGAAACATTTAAAGTGGACAAAAAGTAATTACTTGACTACAATGATTTTATAATGCTCTCATGATTGCAAAAGACATATTTCAAAAGTAATGAATCAACTGTTTAATGTTTAATCACTGCAAGAAAGAAAAATTTTACCACACACCAAGTCCGGACGTTTATATTGTATCCAAAATATAAATGATTAACTAAATGTTTAAGATGTGAAATTTTCCTTTTCAAAAGTTACATGAATCATTTAGTTTACAAATTTATCTTTTGTTCACTATCAACGTGTGATTTCCGATGTGCATAGACCTTAGAAGATCTTTCTCTAAAACTGCTGAGTTGCTCGCATTTTTTAAAAGAAGGATAAAAGGTTAAATTTTTTGTTGTTGAAAATAGCGGACATTTTTCTATTACAAGCCAAAAAAAACTGTAGTCATCTTAAATTCAAAGAGACCAAAATAAGCAATTTTTGCGATCAACTCTGTAAAATGAGATTGATCGATAATATGTTCATTTAAGTCAGTTTCGATAATTTTCACTCATATAGACCCCTCACCATAAACCGATAAAGGACTTCAAATTTAGACCTGTAATTGGCACTTAAAGCCATCGAGCAGGCAGGGATCTTTATCGTGCAAACGCCTGTCATGAAACGGTGCCTCGGTTTTTAACGACTCATCCGAAAGACCTGCAACTTTCACTTCAAAGTGCCGAGCTTGGCGAAGGAACAGTTGTTTCCTATTTTATTGACTTAGGTCAGTCACGGCCGGGATTTGAAACCACGACCTTCCGATCAAGGAGCGAGCGCTCATCGGCTGAGCTACAGTGACGGTGTGAAAGGGGAAGATAATGAATAGTAAAACATAAATATTCAAGGCGGAGCAAATAAATACCCCCAAACCATCAGAGGTAGAAGAAAAGTATCCTTTGTCTATCGGTCACACCCAAAGTTAGCGTTTTGCTTAATTGGCTAAACGAAGTAATCGAGAGAAAATAGGAGAAATAAATTTCTTCCAATGTGCATTGTAATTGTTAGTCAACAATTAATTTGAGGACAGTTGGTTGTTAAAAATACATTTTTGCAAGGACTATAAAATTTGCGAGAATTTGACTTTAAACAAGTTGATACCCTTGAAGTATCAACATATTTGTCAATAGCATGTCATGGTTATTCGATGTGTCCGAAAATTTATAAATATATAATTTTATTTAAATAGACTTGATCAATAATTCCCTTTTATTCATTAACTTCTACTTGATTATAAAGGTATAAAGGCTGCAATTCCTAAATTTGACATAAAATTTAAATTATACATATAGAGATTACTAAATTATATATATATATATATATATATATATATATATATATATATATATATATATATATATATATATATATATATATATATATATATATATATATATATATATATATCAGTTGGTGCTTTGGTTATTGTTAAATGTATTATATGCTATATTTGTATTCTTTTGATTTATTTTGTAGGAGAAGTGTCTAGAACAATCATGTCCAAATTAGGAGTAGAGCTGCAAAGGCAGATAGACATTCAAAGTTAGTAAACATGCTCGATATAAAGATTTGTCATCTTTAATCTTTATCTGCCACTTTTACAGTATTTGTTGTACAAAAACGGTAATAAATAAGCAATCCTAATTTGTTGAATATTTATGATCAGAAAAAACCATGCACGAATATGGTATGGCTGTTACTGCAAATGGCGATAAGTCAAAGTTGCCGTCAAAGTACATAATCCATGTGAATCTTGCCGGTGGTAATTACAAAAGAAAAATTATGAGTGTCTTTCAAAAAGCGGAAGAAATGGGCATGAAAACTATAGCTCTGCCAGCTCTAGGAACAGGTATTTCGATTCTTAACATTACCTGCTTTTTTGTCTGTTTATTAATGTTGGTACTCTGCATTGAAATTGTTATTAAAATTGCCCACAGATTTACATATACATCATGAATCTGTCATTCACAAAAAATCACAAAATCATGTTGTTTGACATATTGTTTTTAAGAATTTATAAGTTATTATCTGAAATATTATCAGATCAGAAAGGTTCTTTGAAAAAAAATCTAATATACTTTTAAGGTCAAGATCTAGTAAATTAAAGGTGCCTACAGATTTCTCAAATATGAGAAACGAGTTCTTTTAATAATCCTTTACAAACATAGCTTGGTAAAATAAGGTGTATTGGGACATAATTTTTAAGTAATCTCAACGACAAAACATATTTTGAACTGTCATTTTCGGTGAAAAAAGAAGAAAGTCAGGAATAAATTTTTTCCCATTTCAGAAAAAGGAAATATATCTATATTGCCTACAGTCTCTCAAAAAACGGTTTTTTGTATCTTTTCGACCCATACCTGAAAATGATATTAAATTGAATATATGTATTGGGGTTACTTTTGACGTGATTTCAAATGGAATTCCATGAAAATGCTTCATTCATATATAATTCTATTAGTTGTAAAGTACGGAAAAAAATAAGTTTCAATCAATTATGACGTCATAATGGATCTTGCACCAGACAGTCTAAACTCATTTACTAGATCTTGACCTTAAGTCGAATTCTTCAGGAATATAGAATCGACCCCCCTCCCATCCCTTACACACTATACCTGTTAAGAACAATCGTCGGTGCTCACTGAAAATATTTACACTTCCAATCATTTTAACTAAAGATTCCTTAGAAATTAGGATTGATTGATTGTATGTTGTTTTACGTTTCATTTGAGAATTTTTCACTCATGTAGAGACGTCAACACATACCGCTGAAAGGCTTCAAATTTAGACCTTTACTCGGCTCTCAGGACCATTGAGCAGTGAGAGTTCTTTTATCGCAACGCCTACCGTGACACGGGGCCTCGTTTTTAAGGTCTTATCCGAAGGACCCGCAACTTTCACTTCAAAGTGCCTAGCGCTTGGCAACGAACAGTTGTTACCCAATTTTTATCGACTTAGGTCAGTCGATCCGATCACGAAGCTAGCGCTCTACCGACTGAGCTACCGTGACGGCTAGAAATTAGGAAACAAATCATTTTCTCATGAACTACCATAGCTGAGCATGAATATCTCTTTTGTAACGTCACAGAACCGAACATCTACTTGATGTCAAAACTATAGCGCAAACTGTATTGTTTTTAAAATGGCAGTTGAATGGCGTTATTTGCAGCAACCAATCGTATAAATAACATAAATATATTATATGAATTTTATATTTTTTTATTTTTGAAAATCTCTGAGATACATTAACTACATGATCTCACCAGCATATTTATCATGAAGCGCTAATGCACTTCATGAATTCATGACTTAATATGCTGGCGTGTAGCGTCGTAGTTCATGCCCTCGTGAATTTTCAAAATTAAAATTACTCTTAAGTGGTCGCTGGTCGGTAGTGGTATATATATATATATATATATATATATATATATATATATATATATATATATATATATATATATATATATATATATATATATATATATATATATTAGGTATGACAATCGAGTCAAAAATTGCCAGTTAGTTTCACCGCATCTCCTTCCGACCGATTAATCGGTTAATCGTCTCAAAATTTTCGACTATTTACTCAAATAAACGACTTTAAAGGTAAAAGTAAGTTTATATTTGTTCAGAACACTACTATATGTTATTTTCAAAAGAAGGGAAAAGTAAGAAAGAAAGAAAAAGAAACTATTGCTTAATTTACATTGCTTGTTTAATAATAAAATTTGATAGGTAACTGCAAGGGAAAGAAGAGGTAAGATACAAATTATAATGAGATATGGAGATAAGGAACAGTATTCAAGCTCAAAGTCCATAAAAACAATACAAATCGGGAGGAGAGCAAACACGGGCCTCCAAAAACAGAGGTAGGATCAGGTCCCATGGACGAGTGAACATCCACTGCTGACCTGTCACACCCTCCCGTGTGCTCCTTGTTATGATCGGTAAATAACTGAAAAATCCGTCGACAATTCAGTGTGTAAATAATGGCCTAACAATTAGTATGTTCACAGTCTAGTAGCATTAGTAGAGTTCAGAGTACTCAAAAATCATTAAAGAAACACAGACAGCCGTGATAACGGCATGGTGTTTAAACAGCAATTGACATCTCGAAAACTGACGAATTATTCCCCAACGACATCAATCCAGAGAGTCTCAATTATCTGTGAATCGGCTAATAGATACATGTAGGTGAAAATGCTAACATTTCAGATAACTTTATTTGAATTTTTAAAATTGAATTTTCAGGTAACTATTCATATTTACACATATATTTTCCCCCGAATAACCCATAATAGATTTTCTAACCGATTACCCTCGTCCGACCGGTTAACCGACTCCAACGTCTGGCAAATATGAAATACATTTACAGTATCCTTTCATCAGCAAATATACACAATTAACACAGAAATGAATGCAACTATTTAAAGAAGTATTCCTATTTTAATGTTTCAATATGTATCTGCAATGTCTTGAACATTTATAATCCTTAGGGCAACAAAGCTTTCACCAAAGGAAAATAGAGGACTTTGCTCAAGAAGTTTTTGATGGCCTAAACAGAATGTCTTCAGATGTGAAGAATTTAACAGAAGTTCATGTGATTATTTTTGATCATCAACAAGCCGTACAGTTTATCGTAGAAATGGAGAAATGTTTTGAGTCGCAAGGGTCCAAACCAAAGGGTTGGTTTAAAGGAATGGTGGATGCATTTAAATATTATGTCACCGGTAAGAGTCATAGGTTCGTTAGGTAAACCATGTAACCTTTTACTATCTTTTCCTTTCTATCCTTGTTCATCACGCTTCATAGTACGTTTAACATTTTTTCTTTCAGTATTTTCTATTAGATTCATGGAATTCTATCAGCGAACGTTAATGCAGTTTAAACTGTTGCAAACTGAGTTTTACCGGCAACGCATTTTGTTTATTGTTTTCATCTTCTTTCGTTGAGTTTTGCCTGTTTGTTATACGAAATGTGTCAAGAAATGTTTATGCTTGACGTTGTATTTTTTTGCCATCCTGTAATGAGCCAAAATCAAAGGATGTTACGCTCGTAAATGCTGTGCTCTTTTAAACGCCTCAAGCATTAGCAAATCACATATAAAAAAATAACTGCATAAACGAGTTTTCTTCTTTACTCTAATTAGCCGTTTACCAAAATTGTGAAATCTATGACCCTTTGGTCTTGAGTTGAGGTCTCATAGGGAACTCAAATTAATCAGTAATGAATAAAAAATTCTTTTAAAAATCCTTTTGTTTTAAATTTCTCCTTAACTTTCTGCAAACTTTATACAAGATAAAAATGAACATCTAGTTTACTGTATTAAATGGGGAACTCATCACGCTTGGATTAGTGTAAGCTAAGATAGTAATTTGTAAAACAATCATTAGAATCTTAAATTGAATGTTTCGTCTTAACATCTGTCCTGTACATCCTTGTAAACTATTTACATGGCTTTGAGGAGTAGTTATTTCCCTTTCTCTACACATGTGAATTTGACATACCTTTGATTTAAAATCCATGACCAAAGTTACCAGGTGAGGATTAGCTGGTCATCGTTCTGTCCATATTGGGAATTTTTACACATAGATAAAAATATATAAGTGGTTATTCATCTTTCAAAATGTTTTGGAATATAAAAAGGCTTTTAAATTTTAATGAGTTAGTTTCTTTAATTTTCATCATACTGCATTTGGATAGGGAAAAGTGCATTCTTTTAAAACATCCTAAATAATAAAAAAAACTTAATTTGATAAAAATCTTTTTTTTTAATGTTTGAAAGTTAATTTGTTTCCGGAAGTATAACTCTTCTGTAATTAAAAATGTGAAAGTTACCAGCCAGCTTGGAATGAAAAATGCTCAAAAATCCAATTCTATAGATAATCACTGCTTAAATGTCAATGAGTTGGAAAAAATGTAAGGGAAGTGAGTTATATCACCATATATGAACTTATCAACAGTCTGAAGTTGAACTTAAAATAATAATGGTAAGTCTAGGCCCTAAAAATAACTCACTCAGAAAATAAACAACATATATAAATAAATAATGAATAGAAATTCTAGAAAATTAGCCTGTTATCTACAAATCCCTAGACCAGGCTGGACTTGAAAACGAAAAATTAAATTTTCTCTGTAAAACCTACCCTACGTCCTAGCTTAACAAAAACCTAATTAACGTAAGATGTGTTTGTGAAACACTGATGCCCCCGTATGGCAACTTATAGCAAAGGTTAACCTTTCTCAAATGCAAATCAAATATGTTGGTACCCAAAGTAAGGTCTTGTCTCGAGGAATATACCTGTGAAATATGAAAGCCCTAACAGCGACCATTGAATAGATTTAGGAAAGGTTAAAGCTTTTCAAAAGTAAGTCAAACATCAAGGTCAAGGTCAAATGGTCAAAATTAATGGTGCCCAAGAAAAGACCTTCTCACAAGAAATATACAGGTGAAATATGAAAACTGAAGCACCAATCGTTCAAAAGTTATGTCCAAGGTTTGAGTTTTTCAAAAGTAGGTCAAACTCCAAGGTCAAGGTCAAAGGGTCAAAAGGAAGTATCCAAAGGAAGGTCTTGTCACAAGAATTACATATGTGAAGTATGAAAGGCCTAGCACCAATCGTTCAAAAGTTATGGCTAAGGTTAAAGTTTTGCAAAAAGTAGGTCAAACTCCAAGGTTAAGGTCAAAGGGTAAAAAATGTTGGTTTCCAAAGGAAGGACTTGTCACAAGGATTACACGTGTGAAGTACGAAAGCCCTAGCACCAATTGTTCAAAAGTTATGGCCAAGGTTAAAGTTGGATAAATTTTGCAAAACTGGGTCAAACTCAAAGGTCAAAAGGTCAAATATGGTGGTACCCAAAGAAAGGTCTTGTCACAAGGAATACACATGTGAAATATGAAAGCCATAGCTACAACCAATCAAAAGTTATGGGCAATGTTAAAGTTTTTGCGGACGAACAGACAAACAGACAAACAGATAGACAGACAGACGGACGGACAGGGCAAAAACTATATACCCCAGAATCTTCGATACGGGGGCATAAAATCGTGCAACTAAAGCTAGCTAAGACTTAGAGCACTGTAAAATCATAAAGTTTTTTTTATTTCTGTAAGGTACTAAGTAAATTATTCTCATAAACCATGAGGTTTTCCTTGCGTTGAAAAGAGGAACTAACCATAAGCCTTTGTTCGCCAACCCAAGTGAAGAAAACTAAACGAACTCAGCTTTAAATACTCTAGCTATAGGCCCAAAATGAAAGCCAATAAATATCAAAGATCCTATAGCTAACTTAACCAACCAAACACAACTACCAAAAGTACTATGGAATGACTTCCAACATGGATGTCACTTCCTGCTTAAAAAGTAAAACATGTAGAATGTCAACACAGGAACTATGAAAACATGGACTAAATTATAACAGACAGATAATTAACGGGTTTTAAGTTACAACTGATAACACAAGGTAAATAGAATTATCATACTGAAACAACAGCAAATACTTGTAAAATATAATTTACGAAACCAGGGCTATAAAAATGAAAACCAAAACCACTACACATTAAAAGTGAAGTCCTTCATTTTATTGAGTAACTGTTCAAATATCGGAAGGTGAGGATTACTTCAATAGTGCACAGTAAATTTTTAAACAAGACATATAAGCATGATAAAAATGTGTTATGTTTACATTTCTCGAGGACAGGAAAACTACGACGTCACACGTAAGCTGAGTAAGTGAAATAAAATACTACATAAAATTTCGGTCATCAGCCATGCAGAAATATTTCTTATCCCTGTTTCAAAAAATGCCTCACCATGTGCTGATTATGACTAGATCTTATTATATAACATTGCCCGTGTATTCGAGTATGATCTTGCTGTACTAACAGATCGTGCATGTCGTCACCGACTTGATTGACGCACAGTCTAGAGAAACAAAGGAGTGGATCATTTTATTTCATAATTTGTTAGTATTTACAAGAATGTTAAAACTTTTCAGTGTTTTATTTAAGATGTTGAAGTAGAACAAACTATAAACTATGGTTTAAATGACCAAAACCATCAAAATTAATGCATTTTTAAAAATCTTCTTCTTCACAACTGGACATCAAGCAGTCAAACTGTTGACATGATTATAATAAGCATTGATCAATCTACCAAAATTTTGAGTTTTCAAAATTTATAGCCCCAGGGTAAGAGGTTTTGCTGTTAGGGCGGAGCTCTAGTGAACCTCTAGTGAAAATGAATAAAATCCTTAAAAATCTCTTTCACTCTGTATATTAAGAGGACAAAATTAATGCATAAATATGATGAACAAGATTCTAAAATTCATGGTCCTAGGCTCAGGGGTTCCAATATTAGGGGACCCTATATATTATAGAGTGAAAATGCACTTTTCTTTGAAAAATAGTCTTTTCTGCTAGTAGGTATTAAGCAAACATACTGCAAAGTTATGATAGGCACGGGTCCTCCCTGTTTGTGGATTTCTTAGCCCATGGACAAGGGGTTCTGGTATTATGGCGGAGCTCTATTTATTATATAGTGTAAATGCAATAATTCTTTGAAAAATGTTCTTCAAAGACCAAGAGAGGCCAATATGAGAGGGGAATGTTATTGCTTTACTATAAAAACTCAATCACTATTGTTTTGTTTCATCTGAGTGGTGATAATGACGGAAATGGGAGTATGATGGGCACTTGCAAGTACATGTTTTATGATTTGCTAATTAGTAATGGCTATTTTGTAGATCCCTAACCATTCTATATTTCTCTTGCTTTTGGGTAACATGCCTTCATTTATCAGTTTGTTTCTAATTTTGTATGCTTTTTGGGGCTTTTACAATGTTACATTTGTATACCCAGGTGATTATTAAGATACTTGGGCTTCTTATTTATTAAATGTTCAGTAAAGATTTTACTGTATAGTTTGGAAATATTAATTCTTATGGGTAACTTGTTTATGCGAAAGATTTGACACAGTTGACAAAAAAATCGTTTTTAGGTATGAAAGTTCGTGGGTAATTAATTTCAGGGCCATCCATAAAATCTTTTAATATGGGGTTCCCCTCCATCAATTATGATTTTACATTACATGAGATCCTCTATTGATGCACCTATATGATAGATTAGGATCTATAGGATTGTCCTAGTTGGTTATTCATATTAAAAAGGTTCAAGGCTCTAAGACTGTTATTTACCTAAACCTCTTAGCGTATGGCTGCAGCAAACGCCATTTTATTTGCAATAGTTAAATGAATCTCCTAATGATATATCACAGTCATCAGGACGAAACAATTTTGCATTATATGAATAAGAAAAATGCTTACCAATAAACATAGTTCAGTCTGATTGCTTGATTAAAAGTAGCATATATTCTTAATCAGAATTGGGAATATGTGTCATTTATATCCTTACGGGTCTCAGACTTTTTTCATATTTCATAATTTGTAAATGAACAATGTGTAAAACCTTTATAGTATTTTTGATTTCCAGGTGGAAAGTCTGATGGTAGTGGACAATGGAAGCCAGTTCTGACTGACAAACCTGATGATCAATCATCGGTAACCATCGTGGTTTTTGCAGATAATCAGAAAAATCTTGATGCTGGACTACGAAAACTTGAGAATCTAGTAAATGCTGATTTCAAAACCAGGGACATCCGGGACTCTGCTATCCCTCATCTTTCTCTGGAACAGGTTAGTAAAATATGTTTGTCAATAGATCAATCACGGTAGATGACAAAACTTTAATTAAGGAAAGTTGACGATGGAAAAGCTGAAGTCATCTCGTTTGTCTAAATAAAGACCTGAACAATGAACATGCTTGTTAATATGTAAATCACTGTTACAATTCTGTATGACCTTGGTCTATCTACATAAGATTTAATTTTAATATAAAGTATTTCTGCTTGTAACGATAAATCAGTATGTTAATATCATATTATCAAATTGGCCTACGTCACAATATGACTTTCGTCAAAATTGTATTAAACCGCATGACGTTGCACAACTGAAAGGGGGACTTTTATCGTTCTACCTGAAAACAGCGGTGTTTGACGTCACAGTAGCAGTGTTGTTTTTTACATGCGCTCCTTCAAAACGAGTTTGACGTAGCCTTTTGCACTTGTGATATGACACAACGAAATCCACATGTTGATGGTTAGGTACATATGTACATGTATTACAAATTAAGGTAAGTCACTCGTGATATGAGTTATATCAAGGATTTTTGAAAAGTATATTTTAGATAACTACTCATATAGCATGACTCAAAATCGCAAAGAAAGTTTGGAGTCGGTGTGCATTTTACTGTGCAACAGTTCAACTGTTCAAAAATTGAACTGTGCCACCGGCAGTGGAAGTGTCTCCATATGAGTGAAAAAATCTCGAGAGGGTTGTTGAACAACAAACAAAAAATTTACTTTTGATAAACTACTGCAGCTCACACCGTTACTGTATACGTCTGTCCCTGCGATCACCGCCATGATAAAACCGCGACCGTGTATCGCGGAAAGGATTAAAACACCGTCGGTGTCGCGTTAAAATACGGGCTCCATGTTGACCGTAGTGTAGAAAGAATGGAATGGGAAAATATTTCAAAATGACTTTCCCTTGGTGCTGTCAATTTTAACCTGATTTTAATAAGCATGCAATATATGTGTATAGACAGTCTACTTCGACTATACAATGTCCAGTATCGATTTTCAGTATCTATATGGTTGCTAGGGTTACCTTGACAGAAAATCGGTTTCCTTTTTTCTTTAGATAATTGATCCTTCAATTTTGAGCAATATTTATTGAAACGTGATGCAAATATAGTTCATGTCAAAACACATAATTCTGTATATGTGAAATTCTAAAAAAGAATTGTGTAAGAAGACTTTTTTCTTTTTATTTTCATTTATAATTACAGTAAAACTTCTCAATCCTGACACCACTGCTTCCTATGACATGTCAATTGTTGCATTTTTCGATCTTTTCCATTTGTATTGTATATTTTTCCATTTGAATTGTATATTTTTTTCATTTATATTATATACTTTTCTATATTGTATAACTTTCATTTTATTTGTATTTTATAATTTTCCATTTGGATTGTATAACCTTTGTTTGTAATCTATATATTCCATTTGTATTATTATTTCTTATTTGTATTGTATAACTTGTTATTTGTATTGTATAATTACTTATTTGTGTACGATAATATTTATTTTTCATTTTTATTGTATACGAGAACGAGGGATTTCATTGGTCAAGTTTTGATTGGTCTGTTTAGTGTTTTAAACAAATGAGATTTTTCGGGTGATCCACACAACTTAGCCTGATACCCTTCCCACAATTCCGTTCTCGCACTCTCTACAAACTCAAACTAGTCTCCTCTATATGCGTGCATGCTGATTTTGGTTTTGCAAGGGGGTGGCAAATTTTGTCGAATCCGATTATTTATTTTTATGCTCTCTCAGGAGGGAATATTTATTTCCAAGATGACCAGAGACAAGTAGAAAAGTGAAAAGAAGAAAATCGGAGGGGGGAGAGGGGGGTAGGGGGATGTAGGTTTCACCAGTAAAGGTCAAATTGTTTATTTTCTCAGTCAGCATTTCTAAATACAGGTTATTTATTTGCCATCTGCCATAACTCCCTTTTCAAAGTCAAATGGCCGTCCCTTAATACATATAGCAGCCCAGTTTGCTCTGAGCACCCGGAATATCTTGCTCGTTTTCAAGACTATACAGGCTAAAACTTGACCAATGAAATCCTTCGTAACAAAACAAACAAACAATCCTCGGATACAATACAAATAAAAAATATCGCATAGAAATAAGATATTTTACAATACAAATAAGAAATTATACGATGCAAATGGAAAATATAGAATACAAGTAAAAAAATATACGGCTCAAATGACTTTTTAACAAAACAAAAGAAAAATACAGAATGCAAATAAAAACTTATACAATAGAAATGGAAAAATATAGAATACACATAAAAATTATACAATACGAATGGAAGGACGAATATCGGAACGTTTGACATGTCATAGGTTCCACAGAATTGGTCGGATTGGACATTAAAAAAAAAAACAATATTTTATGAAAGGGCATAAAAATTTACATTGTAATAGTCAAGATTTCAGAAAACACAACCTTTGATAAGACAAATTTTACTGTATTGATTTTTTTTATGCAGATGAAAGCTTTGAAGAATCTGGAGGATGAGTTTGATGTAGAAATTAATATAGATAGAGACGGAGGAATAGTTACCCTTCTTGGAACCAGCGAATCGTTACTAGATGCTACCAGTTATGTTAAGGACATGCTTCGAAATGTTGATCGCAATAAACTTGAAGCTGAATACGTATCAGATGTCGTGATGTGGTATTATGTTGACAATTCTGATGGTAAAAATGAACTGTGCGATTATCCAAAGAATATCAATCTGCTTGTTGAGAAAGCTTATAGTAACAAACAACCAGATGTCAAGTTCCTTGACGTGCAGGGTACACAGTACACCATTGATTTTTCCTCAATGGTGGAGTACCCGAGTGATGATCCTACGGATGTATTGACTGTTACCAGAAGAGACAAAATTAAGGGTATGTCTACACTATTTTTCAGAAAAATATCTGTAGAGAGGATTTGTATAGTGTATTACGACAGATACTAGTATTGCTATCCAGGCCGAGTTTTCTTAATATACCTAAAATTAATTAGGGAGAGGGCAAATATAGTTTTTAGAACTTGTGCCCAATTCCATTGTATATATTTATTGCAATAAAATATGTTTAAATCAAACCTAAAATATCGTCCATTTAAGATGATTTCTCCATAAAAATTCAGTTTGTGACCGTGTCATAATTAAGTACAGAGGATCATGAGGTTCATGTCACTTTAATATTCAAATACAGATATGCGATGAAAATCTCCTAGAAATAACCAACTTTTGACCTATTTAAAAAGTTTCTTTTATTCTGTTTGCTGAAAAATGCATTAAATTCTGCATTGTAAATTATTGTATAAAAACCTCCATCCATCCTAACAGCTTCTACCTTTGAGCCTCCACCTGAGTGGACAGCTATGAGTGAATCCGAAAACCTTGTGGTTATTCAAGTTCCTTCTGGGTCACAGGAATATCTAAAAGTTATTGACAGATTTCAGGGAGAATTACAGACAAGCGGCATAAAAAGCGATATAATCAAAGTATGTCAATCCATAAAGATTTTTTATTGGAAAAAATTAAATATCAGAGTGAGTCTTTTACAGCGTTGAGATAAAATTTCTAAATTCTCTGGAAAACTTGAGATATGTGTGTTTTTTGCAGTTGGAGAGAATTCAGAACAAAATGCTGTACCAGCAATATGTTGCCAAAAAGAAGTTGTTAGATTCTCAGAATCCACCTGGCACAAAGAATGAGAGAGAACTCTGGCATGGAACTGCTCCAGAGGCAGTTAATAGTGTCAACTCTCTTGGCTTCAATAGGAGCTACTGCGGGAAAAACGGTAGAATTCCTTTAAGCTTATCTTATTGTGCTATTCTGATAAGGGTTTTTTGGTCTGATATCCTTGCCTGCAAAATATATTCGTTTCTTTTTTTTGTTCATTTTTTTCATTATTCATATGGGCAAGTCTCATACACAATGTCTAATCAAGCATGGGTGATAAAACAAGTTCTTTTCCTTTCTCAACACACTATCAAAAGTATGTTGCCGTACCTTCAAATAAGTCCATATCTATTACACTGAAATGTCTACGGATTTTTTCCGTTATTTCCCGATCATGACAAGGAGCACATGGCGGGTGTGACCAGTCGGCAGAGTGTGCTCATTCCTCCATTGCACCTGATCCCACCTGTGATGTTTTAGAGGTCCGTGTTTGCTCTGCTCCTGATCTGTATTGTTAGAATGGACTTTTGAACTTGAATATTGTTCGTTATCACAATATAAAAGCTAAAGATCCTCTATTAAAGTACATGTATTTACAGTTACATTAATTCACGCAAAATGACCCGTTCCCATAATATATATTTCGTCGTATAAAGACCTTGAGTAAAGAATGCAATGGCTTTGAAAATGTGCTTTGTAATTTATAATCAAGATCAACATTAAAACAAGTAAATTTATTTATCATTCTGTTATTTAAGATACATCTCTATGTTTGTTCCTTCTATTTCTTCACCTTGATTTTTTTTTTGCGCGTACCCGGTATACATTGTAATATCTTTGGGTAAATTTTATGTATTGACGTTAAAAAGAGATTGAACAAAAAGAATAGTGTCAAGTCTAAATTTCTATACATTTCTGGATTTTTTTCTCCTTTTCCTTTTGCTTTAGAAAGAGTCCTCTGAATAAAACACTTTTCTGAAATTCTCATCATCTCAACTATATTAAATTAGACTTTGTCCATGATTAAAAGTCAAAACAGGTGTCCCCAACTAAAAAAATGTGTGGAATTAAGAAACTAGTTGTAGGAGCCGGGAATATATGATTTTATTCAGTCGTATTTTCAATAACGATAAATTGATTTCTAGATATTGAAAGAAAAAAAAATTCCCCATCGAATGGAACTTCTTATTTAAATCTTTGGAACAATATCATCTTAAACATTTTTTAGGCGGGTGAAAATTCTTTTTAAAAACGGTATTCGATTTAAAAATAACGATCGAATTTAAAAAAAAAAATAAAAAAAAATAACACAAACACAAACAAACAAACAAACAAACAAAACAAAACAAAAAACCCCATATTTGTCGAGACGAACATGACAAGGATGTTTTATTGGCTGTATTTCATTTCTGGAATTTTTAAAAACATTCAACTTTTCTTCATTTCCGACATTTTATAGTTTTCATTTCCGACATTTCAAAGTTTTCATTTCCGACATTTATCATACAGCACTGTTCTGGCAATGAAAACAGAATTAAAGTCTTCCCTTATAAAAAAAAAAAATCAAAGAATAAATCAAGAATAATTCATTCTTATCCAATATAAATTTGATGCAGTCACTGATATAAACTTCAGTGGACATTAAATGGGATTTAACCCATGCAAATGACTTTTAACTATACATCGTGCTACATGTATGTACAGTGTCTTGTTATGTTTTTATTCAAAAAATGTAGTTTGAAATAAATATAATATTTATATCTTGTTAAAATGTTATTTCCACATAAAAAGTACCCTCCGAAATTCCGGAAATGTAAAAAAAAAAAAAAAAAAAAAAAAAAAAAAAAAAAAAAAAAAAAATTCGGAAATGAAAAAAATGTCGGAAATGAAATTTAAAAATTCCGGAAATGAAATGCAGCGGTCTTATTTCAGCGGTACTATATTTAATTGTTTTTGATAAAATAAAGCATAATAATCAAATTCCAGGAATACCATTTAAATATAACAGAGAATATAAATTTGTTCATAATGCAGATGATCATACTGTAATTTTAAAGAATATCGAATCTATGAAAGAGACTTTAAACTTTATGGATATTAACTGATCCATTAAATAACTACAAAGATAAGATAGAAGATAAAACTTAAAAACCTTAAAAAAAATCATTGGAATAAAAAAATTGGTGCAGATAATGATGAGTGTAATAAAAAAGATAAATTTAAAAAAATGAATCGACAATTGCCAAAAAATGCAAAAAATAAAATAAAATAATAATTTTAAAAAATTGCGTCACTGAAGAATCAACAGAAAAATATTTCTCTTGTTTTGAAAAAGAAGATATGCAACATCTGATACTGAAGTATAAAAATGTTAAACTTATTTGGAATATGATATGTTGTGTTTTCAAACTGATCAGTCACTTGAAAAAACAATAGTATTTTTGATTATTTTACATGTAATCGGAAACACTTTTATTCAATAATTTCCTATTCCTTCATTGCATTGAAAATACACAAATATTAAATGTTTAGTACACTTGAAAAACTTGAAGAAACGGAGTATTACATAATAAAGCATGTTAAACAATGTACCAGTTTTAGTTGTTAAAATATATAATTTATTTTAAAAAAGATATATAAATTAGATGGAGAATTCATTGAAAAATCCATCTGACGATGATAATCTCTCATATGCATACAAAAGAAAATATTTATATTTAAATACCGCTGAAATTAGGCTGAAATACTGAGGATTAATATACAAAACAATCAATCATTTTTTCCCTTAATAACTGTTTTCCCCCTTTACTATTACCTGATAAAATATCTTAATAGTATTTGAAAAATTTATTCAAATTCTGTTTTTATTTTTATTTTTAAATTTTTTTTTTCAGTTTCTTATCCTATAAATTGTTAATTATATAGTCATTTATAATAACACTTTTAAGGGAGCCGACTGAGGTTTTATTGTGTGAAAACTACTATAGAGAAACTCTTTAATTTTATACCCTATATACCTTACATTGACTTCTGTATACATGCCAAGTTTAGTGAAAATCTACCGTCTGGTTATTTTTCAGGGACCGTCTCAAAATACAGGTACATTTACTATAGGATTATATAGGAAAATACCATTTTTTCGCACTTCGGAGCAAATTATACAAATACTACTATAGACTTTTTTCTCAAATTTTATTATTTGATGAGTAATACTATATTCTACATTTTGTGCAAGAAACACAAAATTCTACCGTCTGGTTTCCAGAGGGGGCATCTCAAAATGTCAAAATTCATGATATTTTCCTGTTTTTATGGAGTACAACAAAACATGACAGATACCACAGATTTACATAAAAAATAATAACATTGATTGCAATATTCTCAGTTTCCTATGTTTAAAATTTCAAGAGCATATATTTTATACTTTTTATTTTATGGCATAATTAATGACCCCGCTTAAAGAACTTCGGTTATTCATAACGTCAAAAACACACTATTACGACGTCTATCTACCCATCATTTTAAAAATCGTTAAAAAAAAATCAGTTATTTAAAAAGGCAATTAGATTTTTTGACCTCATATTTCCTAAATTTGTTATTTTTTATAAATTATGTAGAAATAGTTGCTTTAAAAGAGTAAATACGCTTTATTTTACTATGCTGCGCGAAGTATTGCGCAATGAAAACCCCAGTCGGCCCCCTTAAGAGAATACGCGATTTTACGTTTTAGAACCTTGCCTTAATTAATTCTTCCAATTTTGTAGATCGCACTTTACCTGAGTACACCAGACAGTCCCGACGTATTTCAAAGTTGTCCGGAATTATTTCTTATCAACTGGTTTTTTTAAATAATATTCAAATTAAACGTAAAATTTAATTTTTATATTCAGTAAAGAAAAGTCTCCATATTATCTGTATAGAGAAAACAGTCGGCAATATGGACATTTGCGAAATAGCGAACAGCGCACATCTGACACCGGACTTCTACGGAAGCCCAATAGTGCAAACCAAAAATAAATAAACAAAAACGAAATTATTAAATAAACAAAAACGAAATTATTAAATAAAGAAAAACGAAATTATTAAATAAAGAAAACGAAATTATTAAATAAAAAGCAAACGAAATTATTAAATAAAGAAAACGAAATTATTAAATAAAGAAAACGAAATTTTTAAATAAAGAAAACGAAATTATTAAATAAAAAGCAAACGAAATTATTAAATAAAGAAAACGAAATTATTAAACAAAAAGCAAACGAAATTATAAAATAAAGAAAACGAAATTATTAAATAGAGAAAACGAAATTATTAGATAAAGAAAACGAAATTATTAAATAAAGAAAACGAAATTATTAAATAAAAAACTGAAACTAAGATACGGAATTTATAGATGTGCGTGGTAAGGGCCTGAACCCATGAATCATTCCATAAAGCACACGTCTTCTATGACCTGATTTTGTTTCGACATTAAAACAAGTGTGATATTTGCATTTACACTCAGCTATTCCCGTATCGATAACATAACCAGTTGGAGTAGACAATCATAATAGATGAATAGGGGAGAAATTTACCTTTGGTTATCCAATATGCTTAGATCTATGTTTTTATCTTACATTAACATGATTAATGTGAACTTTGACCAGTCTGATGAATTGGCCAGTGATGACAAGTTTACGTTAACATTAGCTTTCTTAAACCCTCAACTCAGAAGGTCTAATTATTAGCAAACAATGAATCTGGACATGAAACATCAAAGGGATTATCCTGATAAATTGCACAAATATTTAAGATATACATGTCTGTTAAGATTTGCTGAACCTTATAACATTTAGAAAATTCCCATGGCTATACATCATTTTTCAATCATAGCACAGTACAAAAAATGCTGTAAAAAGACACGTTACCGATCGGAACCCATTATAAAAAATTGTTTAAAGAGAGCAAGTGCAAAAATTAAACCAGACAAAGTTGTTACAATGAGTAGATTTTAATGATTGCTTACTTTATTAAAAATTAAGCAAAACACTTCTAATTTTTTGGTCATTTTATCAAAGCATAATTAGAAGTGATGCACTAACTATTTGTTCTCACATATTCTAAATGACAAATTCTCAATCT